CAGACCAGAGGTATTGCATATATTCAATTAGAATTATTTTTAGCTTTTTATTTTAATGAACTTTATTGAGCTATAATTTACAAACAATAAAAAGTACACATTTTTTTGTTTCTTTTTGGAGACCAGGTTTCTCTGTGTAGCCTTGGCTGTCCTGGAGCTCAATCTGTAGGCCAAGCTGACCTCAGACACACAGAGATTCATATGCCTCAGCCTCCTGAGTGCTGGGATTAAAGGCATGTGCCACCACCACCTTGCTGCATGGCATTTTTATAGTTTTGGTGATGAAACCTGGGGCCTCGGGCATGATAGGCATGCTCCTTACAATTGACCTACATCTTCAACCCAAGATACTCATAGTTAAACTGTAGAATTCAATATTTTAACGTATTTATCAGCAGATAAATGAGTATCAAGATATAGAATATTTTCTTCTGCTGAATAAGTTATGCTGTGCACCTTTACAGTCAGAAAGACAGCAACTTTCAAGTCAGATAAAAATGGTCCAGTTTATAATGTGTATGTTACTTTTGCTTATTCTAGAAGTCATGGAATGGAATCATCCCGAATGTACTCCTCTGAATCTGACAGATTTCTGTAAGCCTATCTTTTCAAATTCATCTGTCACTGCTTGTACCAATAACTTGTTCTTCCCTTTGATTAGTCATGTTAAAATTCATGGATACATCAGATTTGCTTTCTTCAGTCCTTTATCAATAATTATGTTTTTATCCACTTTGTAGCTATCATAAGTGATGTTGCTATGAACATTCCCATGCCAAAATTTGCAAAGTCATTTTTGTATTTTGCTGGGAAGATTTCTAAAAGTTGACTTTCTGGGAAAATATGGTATATGTAAGTTTAACTTTTCATGAAATTGCAAAAAAAAAATCCTGAAAAGTGGTTTAACTTCTCACCAGCAACAAATGAGTGTTCTTTTCCTCCATCCAAGAAGAAGTAGGGACTGTTGGCTATCTTACCTTTACCATTCCAATGAGTTCATTTGGATTTGTACTTGAATTTTTTTTGATCATTTTGGTTTTTAATATTGTTTTCACTGTACTATTGCCTTCTGAATTTGAGTCTCAGGAGTTCTTTATATTGGCTACAAATACATGAATTGTATCTGCTTGTTTCAAACTAGGTTGCTTGTTTATTTGTTTGACTGTTTGCTGAGTCAGGATTTTGCTGTAATTCCCAGGCTGTCCTCAAACTTAAGGGCTCAAGCGATCAGTTCCTCAAGAAGCAAGTACTACATGTGCTTATCACCACACTACCACACTTGACACTTGACCTTTCCACTGATCCTTTTAATATTTGAATTTAAATTTGATTTTTCTCCAGGGCTGGAAATTGAACAGAGGGCCTCATGTGTGCTCAATGAGTGCTAACATGGAACTTTATTCCTAAGCCTCCATTTCATAGCGTGTGTGTGTGTGTGTGTGTGTGTGTGTGTGTGTGTGTGTGTGTGCACATGTGGATGGGGTGCAACATGCTTGAGTGTATGTGTGGAAGTCAAAAGTAGGTCAGGGGTCAACCTCAATCTCTCCCTCTCTCCACCTTTGTTTATATATATATATATATATATATATATATATATAGAGAGAGAGAGAGAGAGAGAGAGAGAGAGAGAGAGAGAGAATTGTATTTAGTTGGGGATTTAGCTCAGTGGTAGAGTGCTTGCCTAGCAAGCACAAGGCCCTAGGTTCGATCCTCAGCTCAAAAAAAAAAAAAAAAAGAATTGTATTTAATGAACCTAGAACTTGCTGATTTGGCTAGACTAGCTGGTTACCAAGAGATCCTATTGTGTCCATCACCCCAGTGCTGGGATTACAGGCACATATTACCCAGCTGACTTTTTACATGGATGCTAAGGATTCAAACTCAGGTTCACAAGCTTTCCCAAGTGACTGATATCCCTAATTCCTCCATTTCAATTTTTAAACTATGTTTTTAAAGGGCAATGTTTTAGTCAGACGGTGGTGGCACACACCTTTATTCCCAGCACTTCGGAGGCAGAGGCTCTGAGTTAGTAGCCAACCTGGTCTACCAAGTGAGTTCCAGGACAACCAGAACTACACAGATAATTCTTGTCTTGAAAAACAAACAAACAAAGGCAATGTTTTAAATTTGATAACTCCAATTACTTCCTTTTTTCTAAATTTATGAGTTGTTATTTGTGTTCCATCTAAGGAATCTTTCGTTCCTAAGATTGTAGTGTTTTTATATTTTACTTTGAAAGTTTTGTAATTTGAGTTTTTACACTGAGGCCTATGGAGTGCTTTGAACTAATTTGTGTAAGTAAAGGTAAAAGAAAAGGGCTCTTTGGGAGAGCTGTCCCTACCCCTCATTAGCTGCAGCACTCGGGAGAGTGGTTCCTATGCCATGCCTGGGCAACACAGTAGAGCTGACCCTTAAGGTGTCGGTGTGGGAGATCTGACCCTGAGGCATTCCCTTGTTCATTGCTGGAATGGGTGAAACGCTCCAGGACAACGCAGGAGAGCTCACCTGGTGGTGAGGACAGGGGAGAGCTGGAGGGCTGACCAACCCCGCAGCTACCCAGGCCCAGAGCCAGGGCTATGAGTTGGTCCACCCCAACATCCACCCCATCTGTGATCTGCTGGAGCACGTGAAAGTGCTGGTCCTGCAGACCCAAAGCTGCAGGATCTCCACTGCACAGGGCAACAGCAGGAGAGCCAAGAGGAGCCCCAGTGAGGGGCCAGCATCCATACTGTAGCAGTGTAGTAGAGGCCTCTGACCAGACCCGTGACTCTCTGCAATGAACACTTGCAAGTAAAGATGTGTGGATAGAGGGTTTACTGTGTGACTCACTGGGTCACACCACAGCTTACACATGAGCGATTTTTCTCCTCTTTTTTCTTTTCTTAAATTTTATTTTATTTTGGGGGGAGGGGGTGAAAGGTCAGAGGGTGGATACGAAGGGATGGGGAAATGAATGGGATGGAGATGTGTGATGTGAAAGACACAACAAATAAATAAAAAGGAGGAAAAGAAAAAAAGGTCTCTTTTCTTCCTGGAAGAATGCCCATTCGTTTCCAGACCAAAGTATACTGTTGAAGAATATACTTTGCCCAGTGGATTATCCTGATACCTTTGTAAAGAAATGAATTGGCAGGATATGCATAAGTCTATTGCTGGACTCAATTTTGTTACAAGTAACTGGAACACTCCTTTAGTAATACTCCAGTGCTACCACACTCCTTCACTGAGACAACCTAAACCTTGAAATCATGGTTATGAATTCTCCAGATGTTTTCCCTCAAAATTAGTTTATTCTAGGTCCTTGGTTTTTCTACATAAATGTTATGTGTAAGTTTGCAGTTTATAAAAGAACAACTGCTGGTATTGGGGGTTTGATTAAACTAAATGTGTAGATGAATTTGGAGTATTGAATTTCAGAAAAAATTTTCGTTATATACGTTTACATTTGTTTTGGTCTTTAGTCCCTTTCATCACGGTTTTCCAGTTTTAGTATACAGCTTACTTCTAAACATTTCACATTTAAAGCTCATCAAACATACAAATGATACTTTTACATTTCAATTTTCAATTGCTCATCACCAGCATATAAAATGCAAGTGTATTTTGTATGGTAATCATGTATCTGAAACCGTCTTCCACTGAATTCCCAATTATCTAGGGGGATTGCCTTCCCCTGTCCTCAGCTCCCAGGATGCCTCTCCTCCCTCCTGCTGTCCTCTTCAGCTCCCAAAGCTTGTCCTGAAATAGATTTACTGTATATAAGTTAAGATTATTTAAATATATGCTCATTGACTTGCAAACACATATGAACCATTGGAAGCAGAAACTCCTGAAAGAGACTTGTTGGATTCTTTCCATTCTGAATCTCTCACAAGGTTTCATAGCACACTATATTCTGGCACACCTCATGAAAATGCCTCGCATGTCTAGGGGCCCCTCACAAGGGGAGCCATCAGCTGCCCTGTCCTTTTCCAAGGTCCAAAAACAGCAGCTGCAGCCTGTAGAGTCTATATTTATATAATGACTTAGCAGAAGAGACAGATGGTTGGGGTTTTTTCCCAAATTTAATCCTGTTTTTCAAATAAGACTATGATTTCTTTTTTTCTTTCTGAAATGAGACAGGATCTCCTCAGCCTAAACCAGTGTTAAACTAGAGATCCTCCTGCCTCAGTTCTCCCAATGCTAGGTTTTTACAGGCAAGAGACATGTTTCCCTGCCTTTTCTTTTTAAATTTTAATTTAGATATAATTGCACCAATTTCCCTTCCCAAGTGCCTTCTCTCCAACTCCACCATGCTCCCTTCACTCTCAAATTGATAGCCGCCTCTTCCTCATTACCATCATTACAAAGAAAAGAGGAGGGATGAGGGGGATCCGTGCTTGGTATGTAAAATGAATAAAAAAAAATCTTAATAAAAAAAGATGCATGCTTTTCGTTTATCACCAAAAGAACAGTGCAAAAACACATTAGGATTTTTTTTTTAAAAGATTAGCCAGGCGGTGGCCTTTAATCCCAGCACTCGGGAGGCAGAGGCAGGTGGATCTCTGAGTTTGAGGCCAGCCTGGTCTACAGAGCAAGTTCCAGGACAGCTAGGGCTACACAGAGAAAACCTGTCTCAAAAAAACCTAAAAAGAAAAGAAAAGAAAACAATCTACATAAGCTTCTTTCTTGGCTAACTTCGTCTCACATTTTCGTGAAGCGAAAATGGACGACTTTGGTAGCTGAGGGGACAGCAGGAGGAAGGAGGGGCAACCTTGGAGCAGAGGGAGAGGGAAACTCAGTCCCCCCGAACAGTGGCAATGGCTAAGAGCCCCCTGGGAACACACTGCCCCTCTCCTTCAGACAGGCACATGCTCAGGGCCCAGAGTGACAGGGCCCAGCCTGGAGATGTCACAGTGACCCTGAGGTGAGGAGGGGGCCTGGACTCGGCCTGGCCAGAGACTCGGGGCAGAGGAGGGGCCGGGGCCGGGGGCGGGGCTCTGTCTGTGACGCAGCCTCACGTGACTAGCCCACCACGCAGGCTCACACCCCTCTCCGGGGCTCTGGACCTGCCCTGGCTCGCGCCCTCCGGCCCGCCGTCCCCATCCCTGGCCGAGGCACCTGTTCGCGGTGGCGCAGAGCGCGCGGCCCGGGCAGCGCGGAGAGCGGGAGCGGAGCGGGTGA